ACGGGGCAGGCGGGGCCCAGGGGCCCTGGCAGCGGCTCAGCGTGCAGCCTCTCTCCAGAAGCCTGTGAGGAGCCCAGGGAGATGCTGGGGAGATACCCAGGTGCACCCCTCCCCACTGCTCCACTTGGAGCTGCCCCTCTAAGGGGTGGTGAGGGCTGAGGCCAGGCCAGCAGCCCCCAGCCCCTCTGCCCCTAAAGGGGTTTCCTCCTCCATCCCCACCTGTTTGTGCTGTTTCAGCATCTTCTTCAACTTCTCCTTCTCCTCCTTCTCCCTCTGGCAGTCATCCTTGGAGGCTCGCAGCTGGAAGGAGGGTTAGTACAAAGCCCACCCTGCCACTCCCCCAAGTCCTGCAATATCCTATGGGAATGCCCACACCAGTCCTCTCCCACCAGAACCCCAGGAAACCGACAAAAGGAATAGACCAGTAAAAAGAGATGCTCTGGTAGGGATAAGTAGCAGCAAACCCACCCCCCTGGCCTTTCTGTCCCTTCCTGCAGCCCCTGCTCCGAGATGGGTATGAGGTCTGTGACACCAGGGATGAGCCCCTCTGACACACAAAGGAGTCTCAGAGTGCCTCCAGCGGCCCCCAGCCCTGCTCACCTGGTTGCTGGAGAGGACCAACTGCTTCTGTAGCTTTTCCAGCTGCTGCTTTAGCTCTTCCTTCTCTTCATTCATCCTCTCCCTGTCACTCCGCTCCCGCTGGAAGTCCTCCTCAAAAATTTTCACCTGGCAGGATGGAGATGTGCCTGGCTAAGGGTAGTCACCTCCCTCCAAACACCCCCGTCGACGTGTTGCCATCCCTGATGCCAACACCAAGCCTTGGGCACACGGGTTGGCAGGACAGTCCACGGCTGTGGTCCTTCCAGCCTATGGCCTGGAGAATGCTGAACTCGGTCCCCAACTCTCCAGCACCACAGCACTGACATGCACCAGGGCTGCTGGGCTGCTCCTGGCCACACTGTGGTCTTTGCCGGGGATGTTCAGGACATGTAGCTTCCTCCCTCCCTCCAGTAGTTCTGCATCCTGTCCTACCTGCTGCTTGAGTAGCTCGTTCTGGGTCAGCAGCTCCTGCTGTGGCACATTCCCCATCGGCTCCATGGTGCTGGTGAAGATGGGTGGTGGAGAGGCCTGGACATTCAGGGCCTCCTCTAGTGCCTAGAGGAAGAGGAGCAGGAGGGAGGGGGTCAGAGTGAGCTGCGGTGCCTGTGACACTTCTAGAGGACCACGGGCATGTGCCCAGCATGGAAAATGGGTATAACTGGGCAAGAGCAAGTTGGATTACAGACCCCCCCCTGTTCCAAAACCCCCTTTTCTGGGAGCCTAGAGGGATGTGGTGAGCATCTTCTGACACGAGGTCCTGCCTGGGCAAGGACCCAGGCAGGAGGGGGTTGATCAGAGTCAGTTTTGGACTTGAGAGAGGAGAAGTGCTTGGAAAACATAAAAGACTTTTTGCAGGGAAGAGTTGTGCTCCAGCCCTCACCTTGTTCAGTCTCTGGATCTCCTTCTCCTGGTACTCCCGCTGCCTGGTGACCGGAGCCAGCTGCTCCTGCAGGAACCGCATCCTCTGCTGCAGGTCCCTCACCTCCATGGCCAGCCTCTCCTTCTCTGCCTGCAGGACCCGGGGGGAAGATGAGCCAGGGCAGGGTGACGGGGCCAGCAGCTCCCTGCCACCCTTCCCCAGGGACTCGCCTCCTCCGTTTCAATGCGGGACTTGGCCAGCAGCAGCTTGCGGTCGAAATCCCGCTGCTTTTGCTCCCGCTCCGTCTCCAGCTCGGTCAGTGCCCTGCGGGCCTCAGCCAGCTCCTGGTGCAGATCCGTGACCTGCCGGGGAGGGGAGTGAGGACAGTCACCTGCCTGGAAGATCCCACACTCAGGGGGAAGGAGCCAGAGGCAGCTCCAAAACCTTCCCCTGCACCTGGTCTCCTCCAGCACCCAGCCCCAAGCACCCAGCCCTACCTTCTGCTCATACTTCTGCTTCATGGCTCGGAAGTGCTGATCCCATTGCTTATTCACCTCCAGCAGCTGCAGGGGGAGAGGGATGGCTGAATGGGAGCCCAGCCCCTGCCACACTCAGGGGGAAGGAGCCAGAGGCAGCTCCAAAACCTTCCCCTGCACCTGGTCTCCTCCAGCACCCAGCCCCAAGCACCCAGCCCTACCTTCTGCTCATACTTCTGCTTCATGGCTCGGAAGTGCTGATCCCATTGCTTATTCACCTCCAGCAGCTGCAGGGGGAGAGGGATGGCTGAATGGGAGCCCAGCCCCTGCCCCGAGCCACCCGTGGCAGCCTCTGGCAGATGGAGATCCTGGCTCCAGCAGCACTTCCCTGCAGCTCCGCAGCCCTGTCCCCGTCTCCCCGTGTCCCCGCTGCCCGCTCCCCCCCTCCTCGGCAGTGCCTCCCTCCCAGCCTGGTCCTCACCTCCCTGCGCTGGTGCTCCAGGATCTTCACCTTCTTCTCCTTGGCCTCCAGCTCTCCTCTGCCCGGCACCTTCTCCACCGTGGCCCCGCTCTGCTGGACGCGCACGGGGGGGACCCTCAGGGCTTTTGTGGAGGCTGTGCCCGAGGCCAGCTAAACTCAAACCGGTTCCCCTCCCACGGCCTCCCCCATCCTCATGAGACCCTGAGAAGACCTGCTTGTCATACTGGGACAAACTGGGGACTCGACTGAATTGAGGACACCTTTGCTGATGTGTCAGCGGGCTCCCCGCCTCCTTCCCAGCGCTCTCCAAGGGTGACACTGCCTCCTCACCTGCTGCTGCTCCGCAGCTTCCCTCTTCCCGCTGTCCTGGCTGCTCAGTGTCACCATCCTCCGCAGCTCCTGGTTCTCACACCTGAAGGCAGGAGGGATGGGTCAGTGGGAAGAAGCACCCAGGACAACCCTGTGCCCCTCCTCAGCACCCACCCTCACCTGAGCTTCTCCAGCGCCTGGTTTCTCTGCTCCAGGTCCCGCTCCAGCTTGGTTCGCAGCTCCTTATTCTCGCTGTGCAGTGTCTCGCAGAGGGTCTGGGGGGTGAACACCAGCAGTGTGAGGACCGTGGCCAGGCCCAGAGGCCTGTCTGGCCGCCCACTTCCCACCAAGCTGTGGCATGGAGGTGGGTGTCCACCTCAGTGTGGACAGAAAGGGCTTGATGGAGAAAAAAAAATGAGGGGGGAGAGGGAAAATTCCCCTGAAGATCCCAGCCAGCCCTCACTCACCTGCAGGAACGATGTTCTCTGCTCATTCTTGTGCACCTTGGAGGCCAGGCGCTTGAGCTCGGAGGCCATGTAGCCCATGCGCATGAAGACCTGGTCCTTGCTGGCCTCCTTGGCACAGCCACTCAGCGTGTTCTCCAGCTGCTGCAGCTGGGGCAGCAGGTTGGCATCCTCGTTGGGCAGCTGCTCCAAGCCCTGGGGATGGGATGAAGCATAGTCAGATCAATTCAAGGAGCATTACAAAGGTCGCTCTCAGGGCGGGTCAGCCTCCTTCCCCAGTCAGGGCTGAGGCAGGCAGCTGAGACAGCAGCAAGGTGCTCTGCAACAGCCTTTGGTACACTGAAAAACTGTCAGCGTTGTAAATGTTTGATTCCCGGCCACTGGACATGGGACACCAAGTCCCTGGCTGGAAGGGGACATTGCAGCAGCAGCTCTCCCAGCCCATGGATTCCCTGAATCCGTGTCTGAGCAGCCCACACTCCTGGCTCACTGATAGCAATGGAGTCATCTCTACCTCTCGTTTCTTTTCCCCCAAAACTCTTCCCCTTGGCACCAAGACTACAAATCCCAGCTCCTGAGAATGTCCCTTTGATGTATGCCCTGGTCTGTGCTGGGAGCCGAGGTTTGCCATGTGATGGGTGGTCTCACCCCTGTCTCCATCTTCTCCTTCCTCCTGTGCTCTCTCTGTGGCTGCTGTGCCACTGCAGATGCCAGGCACTGGAGCCTGGGCTCTTTGGCAGGCAGCAGCCAAGAGGGTGACACATGGGATTTAAACGGTGGCCAGGAGAGCCCGGGTCAGGGCACACCCACCAGTGCCAGGGCACACCCCCACCTATGCATGAGGGGTGTCCCCACCAGGCTCCCTCTGCCCTGGCGTGGCTGGGGAACTCCTCTATTGCCTAGGAGACACTGGCAGCACAGGGGCCCAGCTGGCACACGTGGAAGTGCTGGCACACCTTTGCCCGCCCTGCTGACTCAGCCCGACGCCCATGGGAATGCCCCGAGTGCCACGGCGTGTGGCCAGAGCCTGGCATTTCCCCAGAGCCCTGGCCCTGGGGTTTACAGCCCCGAAACTGCCACGGAAGGGTGTGTGCTTGGCACAGCATGGTTCCTGCTGGCAAGGGCAGGCAGTGAGGACCCAAGGCCAGCCAGAGCACCTGGGAGAGCCTGAGTGTGAGTACGGGACTGACACTCGGCTCGGGCACCAGCAGCCAGAGATGCCACCCCATTTCCCATCACCCCATGGCTGCACCCTAGGAGGGTTCAACGAGACTCAAGCCCTCCGGGAGCCTCTCTGGACAGTGCAAATAGGGATGTGCAATGACAGCAGATCCTCTTACTGGCACTGTGCTGTGCAAGCTGGTGTTTGGCCTCCTTGGGCTCACCACCCCTCCTCCCCTTCCTTCCAGCACACAAAAAGCCAGAGGACAGGACAGGGCAGTGCCAGCCAGGTTGACATTCTAGTGGCAGCAAACGGAGCACAGAGATGCCTTGGGTGGGGCAGACCCTGTCAGCTATCATGGGTCTTGGAAATGTGGTCCTCCCACCCAGTGCAGGTGTCTGCAGGTGAACATCAGAGCATCACTGGCAGCTCCTTGGGAGGTCACAGCTCTTCCTGTCACCGTGGCATCTGGAGACAACGATGTCCCCATCTGGCTGGGGCTGCTTTGCAGGTCCCGTGCCCAGGCAGCCCAACCAGGTCACTTGTACTTGTGAGCCCTTGCCCTTGAAGGGCAGCCTGCACATTATTCCCTCTCCTCACCTTGGCCAGGTGAGAGGAGTGATACATGCTGGGGCACACACACCACCACTCCCAAGGCCTCCAGCCCCAGTGAGATGTGGGAAGGACCAGCCCCAGGGCTGTGTGGTTCCCTCATCTTTCTCAGTGGTGGAGGCTGGTGGTCTGGCTCTGCTCTCCTGGGAACCTCCAAGCACAGTTTATCGCTCCTCTGCACTCTGCCCCAGGGCCACCCCGACTCGGGTGTCCCAGCCCCACCTGTGCCTGCTGGCAGCTGTGCCACGGGCACACTGCACACCCTCCCATGACCCTGGTACCACCATGACCACACCAGCAGGTTCCAGCCTGCACCCACCACCCACCCAAGGCAGCCCCACAGGCCCCAGGGCCACTCACCGCTGCCCCGCGCTCCTGGGGAGACCCTGGCGCCTCCACAGCGACCACCTCGAACTCCGAGGAGGATCCCTGCAAGGGGGGCAGCCAGGTCAGGCCTCCCTGGGGAATGGCAACCCAGGCTGCCCACTGCCCCGAGGCAGGGGCCACTGGGAGCACAGCAGGACCCCTGCGTTCAGATTTGTCCCTATTTCTAGAGGCTAAAGGCTGCCTCCTTTTGCTTTAACTAGACAGAGAGTCTCTCCCTCTGGCCATACCAGCACCAGCTCTTGCATTCACCAGACTCACACTTGGAGGAGATTTCCGTGCTTCTGTGTCAGGCTGGGTGCTGCCCGGGGCAGCCTGCGTGGAGCTGGGGTCAGGGCCGACGCCTGTGGAGAGGGGAGAGGAAGAAGCCATGAGCCTTTTTGGGAGCACGGCCTCTCCCTGCCTGGCATGGGATGCACAGAGCAGACATCCCAAGAGGTTAGGCACTGGTGGGTGGTTTCTACCCCAGCTATGGGGACAGCACAAAAAAAAATCTCCCTCCAGGAGGAGGGAAGACAGCAGTGGTTTGATACACTCCAGAGATGACAGTGCTGCAAGGAACCTTCATGAAAGTCTCCTTCACACCCTCCCGCTGGGTGTGAAGGCTCAGGATCCTGAGCCATCAGGTTACCCCTCCCCAGCAAGCCTTGCATCTCCTACCTCCAGTTTCCAACAGGTCCTCCAAGGAGGATGATGCTATCAGCATTTTATTGTCCTTCACGAGGTCCTCCGCCTTCTGCCGCAGCTTGGTTGCCTCCACCTGGGACTCCTCCAGCAGCTCTCCTGTTGTGGGCAGAAGAACGATGTTCATTCTCCCTCCCACAGTGCCTGCCCTGCAGCACCCCCATCCAACACCACCAAGCCTCCTGCTTGGGTGTAGAAGTGCCCAGCATGGTCCTTCTTCATCCAGAAACATCTTTTCTTGGCCAAATTCAATGGCTAAACTGTATCAGTGGCTCACTGGCTGCAGAGTCCCCTCTGCTGACACACAGAGGACTGGTTGAAGCACTGCATCTCTCAGAGGCCTCCTCTGATTCCCAGAAGAGATGAATTTAAGCCTTAGTGGTGGACCCCAGGGATCCAGCGTGCCTGCTCAGAGTTCTGACCCTGGCAATGCAATCCTCTCCCCACTCCGGGTGGCTACTCCCACACCAGTGGGTCCTGGTCCCAGGTAGGGGCATGGGGACATGACAGGAACCACGAGGTAGGTGGAATTTTGGCAGCAGAAGCAGGGATTGAAAGCGGAAGCTGGGTCACGAGACCGAAAGCAAAACTGGGGGTGGGTGGGGGAAGGCATTCAAGGAGGAGAAAGAGGGTGGCACAAGCCAGCTGGAGCTGCAGGGAGCACCCAGTGCTGGGGTTTCTTCGAGCAGCACCCGGGAAAAGCCCCTGACCTGACAGCAGTTGCGGGAGGTGGGGGCTCTCACCAAAAGCAGAACAGACCCCAGCAGCCGTGACCTGCCACTGCAGGGCTCCAGAGCTGACCTCGCTCCATCACTTCCCTTGTTTTCCCAGCCACTTATCCCACTGTAAAGCACCTCAGGAATTCAGCAAAAGCCTTGCTCCCTCTGCACCAGTGTGGAAAAGCCCAGACATCCTGCTCGAGCCCCCAGGACGGGAAGACCTTTACTGCTGCCCCAGTGCCAAGACCCTCAGCTTCCCAGCACCCTTCCAAAACAGAGCAAGAAAGCCCCGGGCTCAGTGGGCACAGGCTGAGCCACCCCACAGGCGACCCCCATCCCCAAGCCACGTTACCGATGGACTTGCTCCCCCGCCTCACCCCACAGGCGACCCCCATCCCCAAGCCACGTTACCGATGGACTTGATCCCCTGCATCTTCTCCTTCAGCCGGGTGTTCTCCTCCACCAGGCGCTCAAAGGCGGTGGGTCCGTCCTCCCCCGAGCCCCCGCCGGGGTCGTAGATGCGGTAGGGTCCTCTCCCTTCCATGCCCGCCGTTCAGTCGCCTGCTTCCCCGCCTGGCATCCTGGCAACGGGGCACAGGGTCACCTTCCTCTGGCCCCAGACAGCCCGTGGGCCCTGGGTCCTGGCCGTGTGGGTGCCGGCAGCTCCCCAGCCCCCGAAGGTCCCAGGTGAAGGGGCTTCCCCCTCCCGCCCTGCTTGGGGTGATTGTGCCGGGCTGACTCACGGCCATGAGAAGTGTCACACGAGGAGGCATCACCGGCAGTGCCACCGGGGGCTGGCTCTCACCCCTGCGGGGGATGGGAGTCCCCGAGGAGGTGGCAGCCGCCTGCTCCTGCACCCCAGGAGGGCTGGAGACCCAGCCCAGCAGCACCCACCCATACGAGAGCACACCTGGACACCATCACCACAGGAGACTGTTGGGGGCAGAACGGGTTTTGGGGTGCTGTTTGAGAAGGGGCAGCATCTGCAGCTCCATGAGCCTTCCCGTGCAGCCGGTGGGTGGTTTGGACAGCATGGGGGGATGAGCCCCAGCAGCCAGGCAGGGCCCCACCCAGCCCTCCAGCTCAGCCAGAGCATAGGGCTGCCAAAGGCAGAGCCTGCAGAATCGGGGCACAGGAACGGCCAGAGGCAAAGTTAGAGGGGAGGAACCACCTTCATGCATCCTGCTGTTTGTGCTTTTAATTCCTGGTGATTGTGGGTGGCCTAAGGCCTCCCCCTCCCCCAGGTCTGGCCTAGGATGCCTGGGCAGGATCCTGGCTCCACGGCTCACCCATCTCCTGGGGGTGATACAGCAGCTGCTGTGAGTTACAGCACAACTGAGCACAAACGTCTCCCCTGATGCCAGCCAGAGCTGGGGTGCTGCACCCACGGGCACCCCCAAGTGCTCTTCCACCCAGCCAAGGCAGCTGGGTGCTCGCAAGTGGGAGGGGGGTGAAGGGGGCATTTTGAAAGGGGAAGGGGGAGTAGCCCATACCCGAAACTGTCTCAACCTCAGACTAATGCTCATGCCACGAGCAATCCGGGCTGATCACTGGTTTAGATGGCCGGCCTGCCAGGGAGCAGCAGGGACTTTCCAGATGACAACCACCACCTGGCAGCACCCGCCAGCCCAGCGGCCAGGAACGCCTGTGGCAGGGG